GTTTAAGCAAGCAATGTCTGCCATCTGCACCCTCATGGGTCCAGTGCTGCAAACTTACTATTTTTAATATTGTCAGGTAGCTTTTTTTGCGAAGCGACCTGGCCACACGATAAGCCAACGAAGTAGCTTATCGTGTGGCAATGTATAGCAGGCAAATACACGAAACGCATGATTATAAATCTGAAGGGAAAACTGGACGACCCGAAGAAAAATCCACGTGGGGAGAACATGCAAACTCCATTTATACAGCAGGCGTCATTGTCGGTATCGAACCCATGACCACGAACCCACGACCTCTTGTATACGAGGCGAGGTAGTAAACATCTCGCCACCTGGGCGCCCCCTGCTGCCATCCGTCTAACTCCTGCGCATGAGCTGATCTCATTGCTTCGTCTCCGCAGTGGTCATCCTCTCGGACATCCTTTCCCTCCTTTGGCTGCCATTCTGTTCACCAGCTTCGTCCTTCGGCCAATATTATTGGGATCTCCTTGGTAAAACAAATAATTGGGCCTCCCTGGTAGAAATGGCGTCTGTTAAACTAAGTCATCATTTGTTAACAACGCCATCAGGTTTCATGGGCTGCCGTGGAACTGTGTCTGCATTGCAGGTCGCTTTTGAAAAAGGAGCTAATAGCTCATTGACCCTGACCTGGTAGGATTAAACATAGTTTAGTTTCATTAATATAGGTCAATATTTTGTGCACTCCTTTTGTGTTTTTGTTTTGTTGGAACCTTCTGACCTGCCCCTACTGGACATCTGTGCAAAAGAGCTTCATAACGCATTGGATTCATTCGTTTTAAATAAATATTTTGATTCTGTGATTTCTAGTCAGCTGTACGATAGTGGCCTTCTTGCTTCTCTGCTGCACGGCAGGTCAACAGCAAAATGCACAGACGTCGTGCGGTACATTGTTCCGGACCCTTAATGCTGCTGCTTGCGCACCGCAACCTCTCGAAGTGTTCGTCGCCGTTCGCTTCTCTGCCGCGCAGCATGGGAGCACGCTCCCAGATGCAAAACTGCATACACGCACACCGTGCAGCATAACGTCCCGGACCCTTGCGGCCGTGCCTCTTGCCGGTGGCGTCTTGCCACGCTCCCCCCGCCCCCCGCCCCCAAGGGGTTTGGGAGTGGGGGCGGTGATCCTTTTGGCTAAGTTGATCTCGATGTCGCCCAGGGGGTCCGCCCGAGGCAAGTGACGAGCACCGCTCCCCCTGCAGTCGCGTGCCCGGTCCCCTCCCTTTCTCGTTATCCCCCACCGCCACCACCACCACCACCACCACCCATCTCGCTTACCCCTGCCCGCCGCGTCCTGCCACGGCACGCGACGCGGGCAGGCGGGCGGGCGTCGTCGTTGTCGTCGTCGCGCTCCAGCGGTGAAAGTTCTACGCCCACGACCGCGTCGCCCCCCCCCCCCTGTCTCGTTGCGCAGCTGGCGGCTCTGAAATATTCGTGGCTCCCTCCTGCAGTTTGAATGCTATTGTGGACACTCTTCCCAAAGTGGGAAGTTGTGTTGTCTTTGTCTTTGTCGTTGTCGTCCCATTTGTTTGTAATTCCGTTCCTCTGGTACGCCGTAAAACAAGGCTTGGTGGTTAGTTTTTGGAGTACCTTGGGCGGTGCGTAAACATCGCCACTGGGGAGACAAAGGCGGCTGGGCGTGTTGCTGACCACCCACCTCCTCGTGTGCCGTGCTGGCCTTAATAGGAAGTCGCAAATAGCAGTTGTCCCAAAAGTCAGTTCAGGTTGTATGGGGGATCTTTGTCTTTGCATTACTGACAATGGGAAAATATTTAGGTTGGCTCTTATTTTCCTGGGGCGTCTTACTTCCTCAACTCACTGGCAAGCTGAAACAATAAGTATTGGAACGTTTTAAATGTCGCTACGTTTTACAATTTTATTTGTTTGGCTGTGTCTTGCGACACAGATCTGGCCAAATCATTACGTGGCCTCGCCAAAAATGTAATTGTGAATCGTAATGTTGGCTGCAAGGACCCACTTGTTAAATAATAACATTTATAATTTACAGCCCTTTGTCAATCCACCACTGGATGAACACATCCCCACCAAATGTAGGTTGTGGGAGCTGTTTAACCATACTTTACCATGATGCTTAGTACAGCTTCGTGGATGGTGGGGGGGGGGGGTGGCCCAAGTTCAGATGTCAGGGGTCGCCACGGGGGTGCGATGTTATCTCCCTTGCCTGGTACGCAGGAGGTGGTGGTTTCGATCCTGACCCTGACAGCAATGCCTGTTGTATATTTGAACCTTATGGCGGGACCCCAGGGGCCCGAATTATCGCAATTAATTATTATTTTTGTCGACTCGTCCCACCGCGCACATAGACACCGCGACCCACCTGGCGCGGATCATTCTCTTGTCGTGTCGTCCAAGCGCAACAGCGAGGACGAATGCGCAGAAGAAACAAAACTTTGAAACTTTGATTTGCGCATCGTGTAGAGCCCGTCGAGAGGAACAGATCGCCGTATCGTTCGCCTTCAACAGACATAAAATGACGTCGCAAAGCAGTTTATGCGAGAGCCGGGGGCTTATGGCACCCCGGGGTCCCACCATAAGGTTAATTTGTAGTGTGTTATCCCTCTTCCCGTGGTCGCGCAGATTTTTGTCTGGGGTCCTCCGATTTGGCACCTCTTTCCGCATTTAGAAACAACATGCGTTTAGATAATTTGGCTGTGACTGAATTCCCACGCGTGACGATGATATCGGCCACTTCGGTGAGCTGTCATGTGTGGCCATGTCGCCTCTGCACAAGAGCCAGTATCTCCGTTGGCTTTAACATAGTTTAGTTTGAGTTTCGACGTCTCTCGCCAGTGTTATTAGTCACGGTGGGGAATCAAACTCGGGTCCGGTTTGGGATCAGAGTGCGGTTTCCGCTTTACAGCTGCGCCGCCAATTCACGCCGATCGATCGGGCAATGGGATTAAGTTTCTGATGCGGCGTGTGGAGCGCGGCTGGATTGTGCAGGAAGTCTCCGTGACTTTCTTTGCACAAAACACTCCTCTCAGCGTTCGGGAAGAGCCGCTTACTGAAGGACTGCAACCAGGGTCTAACAATGCTCTTTGGGAGCAATTAGCACAGTGAAAATGATGTGTGTACTAACTCTAATGCTGAGAAAGGAGGGTAATTAAATTTATTAGCTTTTACAAAAATTGCTTTCAATTTTAAAGCCTTTCCACCTGTCTTGCCGCTATGTCAATCGCGAAAAAAAAATAATCATCTCACCTCGAGACAAGTAATTAATATTTAAATGAAAAAGGCAAACCTCCTCTCTTGCGTTGATACGGGCAGCTTGCACGATAATTTTTTTTTGCGTGAAGAACAAAAGCTCAACGGGCGGGACGGTGGGGGGGGGTAACGGCGTGCGTAATTACGAGCCTTCACATTCCGCCGGTGAGAAGTCGAGCGAAGAGGTGCGTGTCGCTGGCATCGCCGTTAACTCGCAAGCGTGAGATAAAGTGGAGGCGGCCCCTGTAATTGCTTGTCGTACCATTTTGCTGGCACTGCCTTTTTTTTTTATACACCTAGCGAATGTGGCTTCGACGATTCTCGCCGGGCTTTTGTACGCGTTTCACGGCACATTTTTGTCAATCCGCTGCTGGATTTGAGCGAGAAGCCTCAACGACACAACCGCGGGGTCGTGGTGGGTTATTTGACCGTACTTCGTCACGCCGGTTGGTGCAGATTGGTGAAGGCGGGCGCGAGCCTGGACATGGGAGCCTAGAGGTACAGTCCAGCGACGGTTGTGTTTTCCTGCCATCTACTGACAATGTAGTGCTGCAGTCCAGTGAACCTGTAGAATACCTTAGTGGTCACTCGTACAAGCATTGTCGAGGCTCAACCCTACGTAGATTTTTACTTCTGATGAGATCAGGCATAAAAGCTGGGCAGGACCCTCCCAACAAAGAGGCACGAGACTCGGTGGTGAGGCTTTCCTGGGTTGACCAGTGTAAGAACAACAGTAATGGTAATACAGTAAAACCTTGGATTGCAAGTAACATGGTCTGCGAGTGTTTTGCAAGACGAGCAAAAATTTTAAATACATTTTAATTTGATAAACGAGCGAGGTCTTGCAATACGAGTAGTACTTATACGCTTTGTCTGCCGAGCGTCACGTGATCACAACTGAGCCGATGATTCTTCTCTCTCGCTGCGGGATTGTGGGTAATCGTCTCTCATGCTCGGTCTCAGTCGGCGTGCCTCACTCGTATAGTCAACATCCGTGCGAGCGTATACTGTTTACTATAGTGTTGTGACCACGTGTGTGAGCGTAAAGCATTTTTTATATTTGTGTCCAAGGAGGAGGATAAAAAGACGGAGGAATCCCTCACTTCAAATGAGATTAGGGAGATGTGTAAAATGTGGGAAACAGTGCAAAATTTTGTAGAAAAGCACCACCCGAATAGGGCTGTAGCAGTGCGAGTGATGAATCTGTTTAACGGCAATGCAATGTCACATTTCCGCGAAATCCTCAAAAGGAGGCAAAAGCAAGTGTCATTGGATAGGTTCCTTGTTAAAGTCGCACAAAAATAAAAAATATTCCAGTGAGCCAACAGAGAGCAGTGATTCCGTTAGTGACAGTGAAAGTCGTCCTACACAATAACCCTCCCCCTCCTCCTCTCTCTCGTCTCCCTCACACCAGCCACGATTAAATGTAATCAATAAATTTGATTACTTTATATTCAATAAAAATAATAAAAATATAAAAAGGTATTTTGTATTAATAATTTTAATATGAATATTTTTGGGTTGTGGAACCAATCATCTGAGTTTCCATTATTTCTTATGGGGAAATTCGCTTTGATATGCGAGTGCTTTGGAATACAAACACGTTTCCGAAACGAATTATGTTCGCAATCCAAGGTTTTACTGTAATAGGTATAACAGAAATTTTCAGTGATGTGGTCACTGGCCCAATGAGCTTTTGTCTGCTTCCCGAATTAAAGTGATTGATCGATTGTTTGCACTCTGCTGGTTCTATTCAACAGGCAAGACTCGGCTCCTCTCCCGGCGTTGCCCAGCAGGTTCGATGCCCGGTTAGACACCAGCTATCAGAGCCAAGCCATCTACACGTCCGCCATGTCAGGTTGGTACAGATAAGAACCCACTTTTCTCCCTGCACCCACACACACACACACAAATATAATGCTCCCTTGTTGAACCGTGTAGACTGTTAGTGAGCACCGTCTAAGGCTAGAACACCTTGAGACAGTGTTCATTGCAAGGCCCGTGGGCCACTGGCGGCTCCTGGTGGCCTTTAGTGCGGCCCCTGACGTGCGGCCCCCGACAACACAACATGTGACAACACCACCCCTTGCAGGGCGGTCTGGCGGCCCCCACACTCATGTCTTATCAGGAAAAGTGGCCTCCCTTGGAAAATGAGTGAAGAACACTGCCTTAATTGGTGGCCGCTCGGCTCAAGGGTCGGAGCACGGAACTCACGGGGAGACGGTTTCAGAGCGCAATGCCACTGCTTCCCACTGCAACAGGTAACTGGCATGGACTGGTGAGGGTTTGAACAGGTGAGAGCCTGAAGAGGTGAGAACGTGGACAGGTGAGTGACTGGAAATGTAAGGGCCTGGACATGTGAGAGCCTGGATAGGTGAGAACCTGGATAGGTGAGGGCCTGGATAGGTGAGAACCTGGATAGGGTGAGGGCCTGGATAGGTCAGAGCCTGAATAGGTGAGAACCTGGACAGGTGGGATCCTGGATGGGTAAGGGCCTGGAAAAGTGAGAGCCTGGACAGGTAAGGCCCTGAACAGGTGAGAGCCATGAGCTGCTGCTTGAAGGTGGATGGTGATTGTATGCAGCGAATGTGCAGCGGGGAGAGAGTTCCAGATGATGGGTGCCGCTACGGAGGAGTGCCGCTCAGCCAGGACGGTGCTGGTTATGGCTACGTTCAGCCGGGTTGTTAGACGCGCTCCGTAGGACGCGGCGGTTTGCTGCGGTCGGTGGAGTGAGAAGGGGGGGGTGGAGAGGTAGGGCGCGGGAGACCTTAAGCAAGAGCTCGGTGATTATGTATGTAAAAAAAAGCACATTTTTTGAATGCAGGACCCTCCTGAAAAAAACATCTTGAGACTCTGTGATTATTCCCCGAATCCTGGGGAATAACTGAGAATGTGGTGGGTGGGGGAGATACTCAATTGGAATTTGACATAGAGGTGCGGGGGGGCAGGGGGAGGGGCAGGTGGGGGGGGCAGGGGGGGTGGGCGGATGTTGAGGGGGGTGTAAATGAGGCCAGCATTCGCCTCCTGTGACCTTTATATATATTTTTTTGAAGAGTCTCATTCTCAAAACTTTTTGACCGCTACTCCCACTTGGGCGTTGGGTTTAGCGTAAAGGTTAATGGCACGTGGTGAAATTGCACCGGGCGAAGCTTCCACGGAAGGTGCCCTAATTTACATGTGCAGCGCGCTTTTGTCCAACAGGTAATCTCGCACGGAATGTAATGCCGCCGCCGCCACCGCCTTGGAATATTGTAGATTGTCCCTTCGCACGATCTATCGCAGGCCCACGGTAATGGGCTTTAAAAAAAAAAATCCACGGAAAGCCGTGCGACGTTTCATAAAATTCCACCCGCGCCGTCACCCAATTGTTTGCAACGTGCGCGTTTCTCCTCCTCCTCCGTGAGTGCGTGCGTGCGTGCCAGGTTTGTAAATGTAACCTCATCGGGGGGTTTTTTGGGGGCCGATTTCAACTTCATTGGAATAAACGCCGCCTCGCTGAACGTGTTTGTTTCACACTGTTACTCGTTGGTTTTCTTCGAGCAGCTGAGCTTGCGATTTGGTGGCATGGCAGTAGCTGTTCGCCAGACTTGACGTCTCCTCTGCTGCACCTAGTTAGCGGTTGGCTACGTACGATGCGAAAGAAGTTCAACATACGTACATAATTGTTTGACATTTACCAAGCTTTGAATTAAATAAATAAAAAAAGTATGTATATTTTTTGTTTTGCGTCAAGCCCCGACCGAGGGTGGTGATGTCTCTTTTGCCAGCCAAAAAAGATCTTGGGGATCCTAGGATCTTGGGGAGATTCTACAGAATCCTAACTGTACCGTGTTTAAATAAATGTATCATTTATCATTTAAATAATGATTATAATTCGACCGCAGGTCGTACCGCACAGTTGAAATTGCTGGCAACGCTTGGCCGTATGACGAACTTTGCGCGTTGACACGACCGGCACAGTTTTACCAGTGTCTCCGGCCCAGAAGACCTGGAGCCGGTTTCCGGCAGATGTTCCGGATCTATCCTTGAATCTGAGCCAGTTTTGCAAAAGACTGTAAGCAGAGTATTGTTATTCCAAAGAGCTTACTCTTTGTGTGATCGGTGTGGCGCATTCTTGATGGACCGGACTAGTGACAGTGTGCATAAACAAATCTTCAGACTCGCTCGAGTTTTTGTTAACCGCAAAAATCTTGAGACACCTTCAATAGCGGCGCACAACAGAGGCACCTTAAGCGATCGCATTCGAAACGGCGACGCGCATCGCCAAGCCACGGCCGGGCGGGTACAGGCCTACCCGGACCAGACTCGTGCAGTAAAATCCTCCACGCTGCCAAGCGTGAGTGGAGGTTTATATGTGGTGATTGTTTTATTAATGGAATTAAGCCTTTGTAGACACCCCGTGTCCTTTATCGAGCAAAATAGGAGGCGGCCCATCAGCTCGAAAACACGCTTAGTACGACGCCCCCTCACGTTTTTTAAACGTACATTTTTGAACCGTAAATTACTGCCATTGCTTGAAACTCGTTACTATGATTCGTCACATCCAAGAGGACGTTCGCCAAGGAGATGGGCGATTAAATCATTCCGCGTGCTGGGTGCATTGTTGCAATGCAGGATCGTCGTGGGGGTGGGGAGGGGGGTTGGCGGCAGCTTCATCCAGCAGTGGATCGACCGTGGCTGCTGCTGCTGCTGATGATGTTACCCATTATTCACGCAGTCTCTCCTCAGACCGGGATTAATGCGGCGAAGCGTGAGATCGTGTCTTCTCCTAACCACCAGCTTGTTTCCTCCGTTTTTTTTCCCGTGCGAAGGCGGCCACTTTAAAGCTATTAGCGCTGGAGATTTGATTTTGCAGGAGCCGCAACTAGGCATTATTGCCCAGCTTGCGGTGCTAAATTTATAGCGATAGGTCTTGTAATTAATGAGCCCGTCAAGCGAGATGTATATGCAGTGTACCCTCGGCCCCTGATTGTGGGTACAGCCTTGCTGGGTTTCCAATTAACATTGTGCTCAAATAAGTGCTGTTTATCTTGGTGAAAGAAGGGTTTGCAATGTTGATAGGATCGATGCAAAATATCTTTCTCCTGAATTAATAACATTATCACGGCACGTACAGTAAAACCTTGGATTGCGAGTAACTTGGTCTGCGAGTGTTTTGCAAGACGGGCAATTTTTTTAAATAAATATTAATTTGATAAACGATGCGAGGTCTTGCAATACGAGTAGTGTACGTATACGCTTTGTCTGCCGAGCGTCACGTGATCACAACTGATATACGAGTGCTTTGATATACGAGTGCTTTGGATTACAAACACGTTTCCGGAACGAATTATGCTCGCAATCCAAGGTTTTACTGCATATTTTTTTACACGCTGAAATTAAATGTGGATAATCCTGCGTTGATTAGTGTGCTGAGGTGTGATGAACCAACCGCCGTGACCAACACGACACGCTGAGGCCTTCACCCAGCAGTAGATTGGCACAGGCCTCTCGGTGAAACTGGGCCGGCTGCCTCAACGGGAGTGAGCGGCTGGTGGTCGGAAGTTTGCGACCCCAAATGCTGCTTGCGCATCGACTTGGTCCATCTTCCCTCCGGGGGGGGGGGGGAATCGACAGTAGTTGTCCACTGGAGAGGTTCGCCCTCACCCGAGGAAAATGGAATTTCCATCCCTGGTTCAGGGTTTGTAAATGTGAGATCATCACTGCCTCTGCTCACTTCAGCAGTGGCCTAGAGATATTCAAGTGTGGCCAAACTGCCACTGGGCAGTGCTTGTCGCAGGCTTGGTACCGTTGGTAATAATGCGTGCATGTTCGTAGGTGCACACAGCAGGCTCCGGGGGGGGGGGGGGGGGGGGGGGTGCCTGCAAACAAAATCTGTTTCATCCGCAAGAATGCGAGTGCCTAATTAAATAAACGTATTATTTGCATTTAACATTTAGCCAATGTTTCTGCGGCCGTGAGTGGTCGGGGAAATTACGAAAAATGCCACCAAGGCCCGAAATATACCACCCAAAACTAATCGCTTAATTTTTAAACTGTAATTGAGCGGCACTGAATTTGAATCGCTTGCGAACGCGTTGCCGGGTGTCTGGTGTTCCTCCGCGGGTTTATGCCCCTTTCATTAGTTTGACTCGGTGGGCAGTAGCTGCGTTATCCTCTTTAGCTTCGCCCAGCAACGCTCGTTTGGCAACGGGTTTCTCCTCGAGGCGGCCGAGCGTTAATAAACGCACGCTGTGGGTCCATCTGCTGTTGAAGCAAAGGCATAACCGAGAGGGCTGAGCCTCGTAGCAAAGCGCTCTGTTAGCGTCGCCCCTCCAGTTGAGCCCCGCAAATGAGCAGCCATTGAAGGAGCAATTTAATTGTCATCGTCATCATCTTTCCCTTTCATCACCTCATAAGCGACGATGGAGCCAAGTGAATTTCTGCCACGGCTCTCTCTCTCTTCAGCCAGTTTCACTTCTTCAAACAAACTCAATAATTTCTCTTCCAGGGTAATTTTTTTTTCCCGTGGCATTTATCTATCTAGTTTTCTGTATTCCCCTACTGTTGGTTCCTTCCACTTTTATGTGAATTGCCAAGTGCAGGCCCTTGTCCAGAATGATTCTCGTAACTTGCCCGAACGCCCTTTGGCTTCGTCACTCATAACTGTTTTCCTGTGTTTGTCGTTTTTCAGTCGCTGCGGTCTCACGGGAATTAATGAATACTTTATTAAGCCAAGCTAGACCCCCACCGCTCCATCCGTGTGGATGTTTTGAGTTGTGCGCCCCGTCATATGAGCGCGCGTGTCCCATGCCTTCTGCTGTCCTCGTTGACAAAAGGAATTTGTCAACCATCCCGATGAGGAGCCTCCTGGAAGAG